TGGCAGCAAAAGCAACGAGGAACGTGGTGGCATCTGCAAGACGAACACGTTTTTATTATGTCATAAGCTTTCCGTGGACTTTGCAGACCCTTTCAGGTGCAAGGAATCGCCTTATGATGGACTCATCTCGGGTTCTGCATTATTCACCCTCGGGCTTGGAACACAGCAAGGGAATATGTAGGCAAAAAGTAGCCTTTGGGCAAATAGGGAAGGTCCTCGTCCTAACCAAAGAACGTATTTATCCCTGTAATCGACGTTATCACAGGCCATCTCACTCCCAGGATTCTAGATTCCAATAATCTGCCGCTGTATATGATGCTGATGATGACAATGGTAATTAGGGCAATGGTATAATGTACGGTTTTCTTGCTCTGTAAACATGTGACATACCCACGCTTGCAGGCTATATAATACTGATGATGACAATGGTAATTAGGGCAATGGTATAATGTACGGTTTTCTTGCTCTGTAAACATGTAGGGAGCTTAAGCCTTCTAAAAAAAAAACCTTTGCCCAGAATTCGATTAGTATCCACACAAGGTTTGTGAAATTTGCTGCACCTATTTGATGGGGTGCAGGGTGCACCTCGGTGACATGCCCACGCTTGCACTCAGTTGCACAACTGAGATGTGTCATGTCATCAGTTAGCTGCAGTTAGCCACTGCAAGTTACGCAATCCTTACACAAACAACAGTAAGATTCTGACCTTCCTATTATACCTCAAGATGTTATGAGGTACCAGATAACCCTACTAACTACTGTGTTTCCCTGAAAATAAGACAAGGTCTTATATTAATTTTTGCTCCAAAAAAACCCATTAAGGCTTATTTTCAGGGGATGTTTTATTTTAGTCATGCTATCTTCTGGTTGCTGCACAATGATGGAGGGCAGGGTTTCACTTAACTGGGCCTTATTTTTGGATTAGGTCTTACATTAAGATCATCCGGAAAAATCACACTAGGGCTTATTTTCAGGGAAACAGGGTACCTCAACTAGTATATGCTGAAGAAGTCTTCCTGAGTCTTCAGGTCATCAACTCAACTGAACGATGACAGATATGTTATGTGGCTTTAAATTCAAACTGCTGCCGTCAGTGGTCTTTAAAAGTAGTACCTTACTGTCACTGTTGAAGAAAGTTTCTATGCCAGTTTCCGTTGGGGGAGATGCTACTTTGTCTTTTGCCTCAGGCAGCAGTAGTTTAGTTATCTGGTTGTGGAACCAAAGGTTGGGAGTTCAGTTCCCCACTATACCTCCTGGGAGAAAAGCCAGCCTGTGTAGCCTTGGGCAAGCTCCAGAGTCCCAGTACGCCCCCAGAAGAAGGGAATGGTAAACCACATCTGTGTATTTTCTACCTAGAAAACCCTGGAAAGGGTCACCATGAATCAGAATCAACTTAATGGCACTCAATTATTGCATTATACATGTGGACAGGTATACTGGAAATGCTGCAGTACAAGGGAATGCTGTTGCTTTGTACAATGATAATAGGGTTGTCAAGCAATCACCAGAAAAAGTGGGAAGGAAAAATTGCTGGGCTTCTCTCTCCCGCTCTCCTCCCCCTTTTATTTTTTCCTGTGGCCAGTCACCAAGCAATTAAGAGAACTCCCACCTTTTAGGAAAAAAAGCCTTTATCTTTTGCACCGTACTACTAAACTATAAACTGGCAACTGTGGCCCTCTGTAGGTTTTCTAACTTCAATTCCCTAATTCCTCACCATCCCTTACACTGATTTTGGCTGATATAAACCAAACATATCTGAAGGTCTATATTCCTTGCTCAACACTCTGTGAAAAAAGCAGAGCTCCACACTTGATTCCATGGTCAGATTATCTCTTTGGTTTGCTTCTTGATTCTACCGGAATCGGGAGGACAAAAAGAAAAATGAATGAATAGAAGTTAACAGCAAGAAAAACAATTGGTAGCTCCTTATACATTTCTGCTGTTTAGAAGCAAGATAAGAGGCCTTCAGTGACATTATGAGAGCCAACTGTTACTTCCTTTTGTGTATCTCAATAGTTACGAGCTATTTGGGCATCAGAGGATTGCAGCTCTCTGATTCTCTAATCCCTAGACAGTCCCTAACCTCAGAGTCATGTAATATGAAGCAACAGTCGTCAATTAACATGGATTGAATAGTTCTGATTGAAGACTTCCTTATTCAGTTGTGACAATTAAGGTACAGAACAAAAATGTAAAACAAAAAGATGGATAGGCCAATGGGCAGATTCATTATCGGGCAGCTTTTTCTTTGGTGGGGAATACTTTGTGGGAAATGTGAGGCACTGCAGTCTCTGTAATCCAATTAGCTTGTCTGGAAACAGACACCCAGCTCTACATCTCTTTTTTCCCAGCAACAGTGGATGCTGTTCCATCCCTTCAGTGCTGCCTGGAGGCTGTACTGCAATGGATGCAGGAGAATAGACTGAGGCCAAACCCAGATGAGACAGAGGTCCTGAGGGTGGGCGGCCCCTCCATTGGTGGTTTGGGAAACCCCCTCTTTTTGGGGGGAGTGACTCTCACAGCGAAGAGTGAGGTTCGCAGCTTGGGGGTCCATATGGATCTGGCACTCACCATGGAAACCCAGGTAGCGTCAGTGGTCCGCTCCGCCTATCTCCACCTCTGGCAGATTGCCCAGCTGTATTCCTATCTTGCTCCCTTTCTTGATTTTGGGGCACTCACCCCTCTGTAGTCTCAAGATTAGACTACTGTAATGCGTTCTACATGGGGCTACCTTTGAGTTTGATGCGGAAGCTTCAAATGGTGCAGAATGCGGTGGCCAGACCTCACTGGGGTGAGAAAATATAGTGGTGCCTCAACTTACGAACTGAATTGGTTCCAGAACTCTGGTCGTAACTCGAAATGGTCATAAGTCGAAGCACCATTTCCCATAGGAATGCATTGAAATGCAATTAATCTGTTCCGGCTGAAGAAAAAAATAACCCCTCCCCCCCAAAAAAAACAACAACACTGCAAGTCCCATTGGAAATGCGATTAATCCATTTCGGCCAAAGGGAGAAAAAAAGAAAAGCAAACAAACCGTGCAAGACCCATCAGAAATGCAAAAAAAGCAAAGCAAAAAGCAAACAAACCATGCAAGACCCATCGGAAATGGGGGGGACCAAAAAGCAAACAAACCCCACAAGACCCATTGGAAATGGGGAAAAACCCAAAAAGCAAACAAACCCCGCAAGACCCATCACAGCATAGAAACGTAATCCCACCACCCAGCCCAAAACCATGCTGCAAAACCCCCACAGAACAGTTTTTAAAAAGCCAATGGTTAGCAATTTGAATTCCCTGCCTTTTTCTGTTTCTAACTCAAAGCTCCGGCCACAAGTCGAAGCAAAATTTTGCGGTCGGAGCTGGTTGTAACTTGAAACGGTCGTATGTTGGGATGTTCGTAGGTCGAGGCACCACTGGATCAGCATATTTCCCCCACTCTGGCTGCCCTGCATTGGCTGCCTGTTTGTTTCCGCATTGATTTCAAAGTGTTAATGATGACATATAAAGCTCTAAACAGTTTAGGACCTCGATATCTAGTGAAACACCTCATTCCACGTAGATCTACCTGAATCACTTGCTCTAGCCAGGAGGAACGGTTGAGGGGCCTAATGCTGAGAGAGGCCCAGAAAAAGAACAAGAAACTGGACCTTCATGGCAGTGGCCCCTCGGCTCTGGAATAGCCTCCCATCAGTGATTCACCTGGCTCCCTTGCTGGATCTTTTTAAGAGCCAATTAAAAACTTGGCTCTTTAGGCAGGCCTTCCCTCCTGTCGATACTTGAGTTCATTCTTATTATAATTTTCTGTTTTCCCATCTTGAGCATTACTAACATTATTATTTTTTAATTGTTTAATTGTTTTGGTGTATAATGTTTAATGGAACCCGCCCTGAGAAATGAATGAATGAATAAGTGATGCCCTTCATTGACACATGTGTGCAGGTGTCTCAGCCCAGACTAGGGAGGGCTAGAAAATGTTCCTAAAGAGGCAAAGGTCATCACAAAGCAATGTGGAAGCAAAGGAAAAATCCTAATAACACACACAGCCCCCCCTCCAGTAACACAATAGAACAAACAAAAAAAATGCTTGC